TTTGTTCCTTCTATGCAAGAATAAAAAAAATTTCTTCAATACAGCTCACTTATTGCCCCTAAAACATACCAAAAAATCTGTTCGAATTAATTTATCAAGATACACCACCTTTTATAGTTGTCGTTTTTATTTCTTCACTAGCTACTTTTCGGCTTCATCCCTCTTCTTAAGAGGTGTTTTTCGCTTCTCCATCTTTATTCTATCCATCCTACTATTCTCGCTATATATTGATATAACGATAAATGTATGCATATATGGTACATATCCACTAAAGAATCTCATGCCAATGTATTTCATAGATAATCATGATAAAATATTTTTATTGTTTTCCACCCAAGTTTTGTGACTTGTTTGGTAGAAAGCCTAAAGATGTTACCAAATTGAATTAAAATAAAAACCCTTACATTCCACCTCAGAGGTAAGTTGTATTCCATTTTCATGGTATACTCCTCATCTGCAATTCTGCATAAACACGATGTTACTTGTTGGATTGAGCATTTAATTTAACATAATCATCCCTTAGAGATGATTATATAATTTTGATCAATAAACTACTTTACGTTTTAAATACAAAATTGTTAAGTTTTTGGTAAGTTCGTGAGGCTTTGGGGAATTGAAATTCCTATATATTTATCCTGACCCTAAAAGTTAGTGCTTGCATGCAATTCTTGTCGTTGTTGATTCTAGCCTTGGGTTATATATATCCTTGCATGGTGTAATACGGATGAGTGTATTGATTCAGTTATGCAGATGGAAATATCATATGTTTCTATTGTTTTTGACCCTAAGTATATTGTCATCAAGTATACTACCAAACAAACCAGTCTTTGAATTTGATGTTGTTGAGGAAGCTTTTTTAAAATAATAAATTGTTGATTTAAGTTTCTTTGATTTGGTTCAGTTGCAAGTACATAAAAGTTGGTACGAAAACTAAGCAAAAGTTGGTAACGAAATTGAACCAATACTGTTCTAATTTCGTTTTACTACACTACACCTTGAGTTTCTAGAAGAAATATATTGATCTTGGTTTTTTGGGTTATTTTCTCTTTGTTAGATTCAAGGATCAAAATGTCGTGTCGACACGTCCGAAACGTCCGAAACGTTTCGGAATTTCAACACTCCGAAACAAAACAGTAGTTGAATTACAAAATTCCAGTGTTTCGGTCGAAACGGTACTGTTTCGGACCGTTTCGATCGAAACGGCATTGTTTCGAACCGTTTCGACAAAACAGTGATATATTCGGTTCATTATGAATAATTACATTTAATACCCCATTATAATTATATTTAATACCCACTGTAATTACATTTAATACTCACTATAATTATATTTAATATCCCACTATAATTACATTTAATTCCCACTGCTCTTTTGTCTTTTATAATTTTTTTGTTATAAGAATAAATAATTACACTTAATACCCTACTATAATTATATTTAATACCCATTATAATTATATTTAATACATACTGTAATTATATTTAATACCTCACTGCTGTGCAAGTTTTTTGCTTTTTTTTTTTGTTATAAGTATTAACAATTACATTTAATACCCTAATGTAATTATATTTAATACCTACTGTAATTACATTTAATACCCACTGCAATTACATTTAATTTTTAAGTATACATAAGTATCATTAATTTAATTTGATACCCTTCATTATTAGTATTATAATAAAATAGTATTATTAATTGGATTATATTACCGTAATAATATGATTTGGAGTAACTATTGTCATCATATTTATGTCACATATGGAGTTTCTCTAAGTGGCTACCCAGAGCCTACACCGATGTATGAGCCTGCTCGACACTCCACAGGGGAATGGATGTAACCATGTAAGTATGTACTCATTAGCATTTCATGTGTATTATAAGACCTTAATATTATGTAAAAATGTGTTTATTTCATAAAAATTAAGTGTTTGAAACTAATTTAAGTGACTTTCGCCTCAAGTCAAGCCTTTTTTTCCCTCAAATTTAAATTTATTCTTGTATAAATTGATGTTAACCTAATAAATATGTTGAATTAATAAATTATTTAGCATATCTTTATAAATTAATGGATTGCATTTGTGTTTCTATGCGTTTCCATATTTTTCTGCGTTTTCATTGCGTTTCCGAAATGTTTCCGAAACGTTTCTATTTTTGAGTTGACCGAAACGGTACTTCGAAACGAAATTTTGATCCTTGGTTAGGTTTGGGTGAAAATAACTAGATGAGAAGTTAACACTTAAATAAGATACTTAAATTATCTAATACCCTTGGGACTTTATGTGTATAAAAACTTTCTATAATAAGTTACTTAGACCTCACAACAGTTGGAGTTTTGTATAATGAGTGACAGTTTTTGAGTGGCAATTGTTTTGTATATGTGAATTATTTGTACAAATCAAGTTAACTTGTGAATTAATTGGATATTTAAAAAATATATTTGTTTTACGAGACAAAATTTGAATCAATGGTTTTCCAAATTTCATGTTGTTGCGGATAATTTTCACTAGCTACGTCAAATGACAAATAGATTCCAAATTTTTCAATCATATAGTTTGTGGATTAATTTCACTATTTTATTTGTTTTGAAAATAATGTTTTAACAGTCTTTTGGGTGGATAAAAAAAAAAGTTCTCATGGTTCACTAATTGAAAAATTCCCAAAACTATCTCTGAACAAAAAGGTGATACATGTATATTAAACACAGAACTACACTTAAGATATGCTATCGAAATCAGATATTGTATTGGAAGTAAATGACGTAAATATTCGATTAGTTGTGTGCGTGCGTGTCAAAATTGAGAGAAGTTTTAATTTTGAGCTTCGTTAACGGGAAAAAAAAATTGTGCTAAAAATGACGCATAGTATTTCTCAAGCCTGAAAACTAACTTTGAAAATATCCACATGCAAAGCACATGTGCATCAATTAGTACTACTTTAAAATGTCAACAAAAGTGAAAAACTTTTAATTGACTATAACCTTAATAAAATAACTAATATCAATACTATCCTTATATTAAAAGTGTACAAGTTTTTGTTTACCAATTTAATCATTAATTAATTAGTTAATATCAATATTATTGTCTATTAATAGCTAATGTAACCTGTTCACTTCGAGAATACCAGCTTGCATTGAGCCAGCAAGTGAATAGTCACCAAATTTGGCACAATTGAGAAAATGCTTTGATTTCTATTTAACCCTCATCAATATACATATAGACAATATTGTCTATATTGTCAAGTTGTAAAATATTCCATTTGGCCTATTTAATGTCCTCTTTTACCAAGTTTTTCATCTTGCCCCCAAAAACATCTCTCTTTCACTCTCACCTTTTCATTTTATCTCTTTATCTATTTGTTATTTCTCAATATCATATTTTTTGATGCCACAGGTTCACAGCCCATTTGATATTAAACGACATTCCACCATGCACGGACATCTTCACGGGTTTGTTGATTGGTTTTTGAGGCTTCATGTTTCTTAGAAATTCTCTATGCGGAATATTAATCCTCTTGAACTGTCTGGGAATATTAATCCTATTGATTCAGTCAGAAGGGGTTTTGAGCATGAGTTTATGTTTCTATTTCGGTTCGTGAAAATCTACCGATTTTTCTATTGGAAGACAAGGTTGTTATGAATAATTTTGAGAGTCATTGTAGTCCCCGTAGATTTTTATCCATGCTTTTGCATGTCCCTCTCTAGAATGCTCCATGGCTACCTATTTTCATGAGAAGTGAACTAGAGTGTAAGTGGTGTCCTATTAGTGTGTCTTGACACCAAGTGTCCAAGTGCATACCACACCAAAAAGAAATTTTTGGGTAGCATACCTATATTTTTCACCTAAAAAATTTTGACACACGTATAATTTTTTTATTTTATACTTCTTTATCATTTTTACCATTTTTGTTATGGGTACCATACTATTATTTTGTGTTAAATACACTTTTCATGTATGACCGAATGTTTAAAACCTAATATAATTATTTGTTTTGGGCTCACACGCGTTCAAAGAATATAAGAGTTAAGGCAAGACAAATTATATTCCACGAAAAATTAACATTGTAGCATTATGACAAAAAAAAAAACTTTGGGAATCCTTTTTTGTCCTTGCTAGGAAGTTTACCTGCACTGATGTTTTTTTTTTTTTGGTTACCGACTCCATATAAATTTACTGAAAAATTAATGGTTACTTCAATGACATTAGGGACCCCAATTTCATTTTGTGGAATCACATGTACTTGGCCCTCTACAAGTTCACATAACCACCATCTATGAGGAGAAACAATAATGGTTGACCAGATAAGTATGGATAGAGTCTCAGATCGGAATGCTCATTTCTTTGTTTTTAAGTTATAATTATTGGTTATAGTTTCTTTATTTTTGAGATTGCTCTAGAATTATATTACTTCAACTTTGACGTTTTTATGAAGCAAAAATTAGTAGCTTCTTGTGCTTCTATAGGCCAGCGTGAAGAGAAAATTGAAGGATACATGGAAAATGATTCAGAAGTAGCATGGTAACTAATCAATTGTGCTTCTATATGGAATTTCCCAGTTCTTTGATTAGTAAATGTTATTAAAAATTTTATGGGCTTCCACTTGTTATCCTGAAAGAAGACATTAATTAATTGCCAAATAAAATGGATGCACAAATACAAAAAGAGGTAACGGAATTGCAACTTATTTGGGAAATAGATTGGCTCTATGAAGTAGAGCTTTATGGCTGTGTTTTGTTAATTTTCAAATGCAGATTTGTTATGTTTTTTCTTTCTATTTGGGACTAGCATTGATGTGAGACTAAGAAGCACAGATACGAATACAAGATATGGATACGACGATACAACAAAACTCCAAAAACTAGGATATGGGTACGGTTGAGATACGCCTATATATATATTTTTACTGACTTTATAGTTATAATTTTTGGTGAATCGTAAATAATAATAAATAATATTATAATTTTTTATTTTCAAAAATTAATTTGTTGTCTTACTATAGTATATCTATAAAGTGAACGTGATTAACTAAACGAATAAAATTCAACATTTAATTATATTGATTTCTTAGAAGTATTTGTTGATAAAATTATTGAGTAAACCAGTCATTTAAACTCTTTGAACATGTGATAATTGATAGTACTTGAAAAGGGTCCATGGGTCTTCCAAGTCATATGAATTTTGTTAATGTATTGCGTTGTATGGGAAATCAATAGAAAGGTAAAGCTTAAAATTAAAATTACACATATTTCTCTGCATATAAAAATATTCATAAAATATCCATACATTTTATTTATTATTGGATATGTATGGTATGTATTCTCGAGTATCCAACGAGTATCGTATCCGATACGGATACGTTGACCTTAATGAAATATCCGTGTTTCATAGATGTGGGATCACATCGAGAAGTTTCAAGTTTTTTTCAAGTTCAAGAGACTAAATGACGACCATTATGAACATTTTTCAAAATCCGGTACTTAAGTGGGTCTTCCCATTTTATTTGCCCGTTACCCGGACGGCCTCTTTTGTTGATGCAATATTTAATGGTTCCTACCTTGTCCCAAGAATCCAATGCAATCGCACAGTTTGTTTAATTATAAGAATACTATATCTTTGGGAGAAAAATAAGAAACAAATGCAAAACTAATTGTTTATATAGAAGATTGTCTAGATCTTTGCTATTGGAGTAGTAATGATACTTAGGGTATTATTTATTTGTTATTTTGCGTGCTTGTTTATATTTGAAAACTGGTAGGTTAACAACCGAAACGACTTCTGCTAGATAGCTGGCCCTTTCTCTCTTTTTATTGCCTCGCAATGAAGACTCAAGAAGTAGACAACAAGCATCAGTTTCCCAACCCCCTAACCTTTCTATTAGCAAAGCGCTAGTACGCCACTTTGTACGATACTTCATTTGGATTGATTTAAGTTCTGTACTTTCCTAATTTTAAACTTAAGTGGTTGTTATTTCCACTATGCATAGGGGTTTAATGTAATCTATATGGGCTTTAACACACACTCTTCGGATCTAATGTGCTCTTTCAAATTTATTAGATTTCTATTTAATGTAGTACCCAATCTGTGTACACCTTTTTTTTTTTTTAACAATTGTAGCACTTTATTACTTGCTTAGTTTGTAGGTGCAAAAGGCTTAAAATAGGTGATGTGGCCAATTTATCAATTATTTACGAATCATATATGTTGTCCCTTTGGATTCACTTCATCTTTCCAAATCTTTTAGATAATGGACAATTCAAAGGCATGTCTAAAGACTTAATCGAAAAAATACATCTAAAAACTCATCCAAAAAAATTAAAAACAAGAATTATAATTTGAAATTATTCACGTGCAACGTACGTGTGCATCAACTAGTGATTTAACAAAAAACATAGTTTCAGACTACAAAAAGGGTATGCAACACAGTACTGAAGAATATGAAAGAATAACAAAACAAAACCATGAAAACCATTCTACCTTTCGGATCTCTGAAATAGTGCCATCTTCAGGTATAATCGGGACTTTCTGCAGATTAAAGGTCAGAAAATTTCAACTAAGCAACTGCACAAAGTTAAATATGGACAGAACAATCAAAATTCTAAAGTGCGCTATCTGACCTGCGGCTTCCATCCCATCTCGTCGGGACAGCGAAAAGTAGCTTCATTGACAGCTTGATGCTCAATAGCAAACCTTGTCGCACCACTATTGACTCCAAAGTGTACCTGAAGATATGCAGTCAGAAAAGGCAAGAAACTTGCGACATGAATGCAGAAAGATAAGAAGAATTGCACCATTAAAGAACCAACAATATCAAAATACTCAGAGAAACAAAAATGAGTAAACATGATGATGATGCTGTGAATGAGTGACAATCCTAGCAGAAAGCCAAAATGTTTGTTCAGAAATCAAGACTCACTCAAGTTTGATTTCAACTCATTTTTTATGGTCACCCATTTACAAACAGTCATGACAAGTTTACCAATGGACTAATTATGGCCTTATAGAGATAATTAAATATTTTAGTTCTTTATATATTAACCTGCATCACGTTTCTTAACAGTGTTCTCTTATTTTCTCTCTCTTTTAATAAAATTTTTGAGTTCTTTATATATTAACCTGCATTACGTTTCTTAACAGTGTTCTCTTAGTTTCTCTCTCTTTTAGTTTATTCCTTGTTTTGTTGGGGGTGGAGATGGGGGATGGGATGATTGACCGCTTATCGATCTGAATCCTCACATATGGCAGTTTAGATCCTGTGCCAGCTGTCTGAACTCAAGGCAGTCAAATCAATAACTAGAAGCATGACCATTTAATCAAAATTCTCAGCTGGAGCATTTAAATCCATTTTTCCCTCCGTGGGCGAATCACCAAAGTTCAGTGTTTCATCTCAAACCGTCAAATCGTGATCCAAGCTCCTAAAATATCCGAGCTTAAATGCTTGTCCTTGAGTGAGAGGATCAACAAATAATGAGACCAATGGGGTTCCTAATTGAGGAGACTTCTGCAATAAGGCGAAGCCTGCCTTCTTTCACTTGAAGACACTGCAAACTTTCTCAAATAATCCACACTTGTGTTTTCAGCCTGAGGATGAAGATTTTCCAATGCCGTTTCCAGGGCAGAATTTTCACAGACTCTAATAGAAATAGAAAAATCACAATACATGCTTCCCCACATCCAAATAGATCCAAAATCATTTCTAAAAGAAAACTTGTTTTGAACATTCTTGCCATACAAGAGCTTTCCTTTAGAAGAGACGAAGTGAAGAGGAAAAAAGAATACAGAATAACTAGAACTGAAAAAAGAAAAAGAAAAAAAAAACACTGCAGTGTGCTTAAGGAATGAGAAGTGAGCAACTGACCCAAATAACTCTCCCGGAATTTGATGATTCAGAGTCCTTGTGGCTCATGGCAGATTGCAATGTTCGATATAAGGGAACACGTCCTCCCTTTCCTGCAGTATCAAGAATGCTGCAACTCCCAAGGATCAGCCCTTTTGGCAAACCCCTTTTGTTCATAAACTCTTTTAGATTACCAACAATTGTCTCGGTTGGATTCTCAGCAACTCCATGAAATTTCTTAAAACCTGTTACATGGATCGTTACTGCTGGAGGCCCTTCAGAACCCATTTACCAACAATTAAATTAAATTCGACGTGGTGTCAAAGCAGTAAAAATCCCAATTAGAATCCGAGGAACTGCACAAAACAAGGAGCAATGAATTAAATAATGATCAAGCTTAAACAACCCAATGCATGATGATTGGGATCACATGCCATCTATCACCACTAAACACCCTATCAAAAGTTATGAACCGATATCATTACACGAAATATTCCACATAAACACCAGAATTTGGCAAGTATAAAAATAACCTTTCATACTTATATCACCACAATTTTCTAGGCCTTCTGAGTTTTATATAGACAAAAACAAACTGAAGAAAATTTGCATGAACACGTGGATAAGCTAAGCAAGTAGAGTTAAAGAAAATCAATATACTTATAATTTTCAGTTGCGAATATAATGTGTAACACATACTAATGATGAACATGTAAAGTAACAAACTAAAACCCCAATTAAATTGAAGAAGAATTGACAAGAACCCATTTCCAAGAACCATATTAAGATCAATTTACACCTGAAAGTGTTGTTCAATGCTAACGATATATCCAAATCATCACAGATGAACCCCCTTTGATAATCATTCATTCAAAAGTCAAGAACCCAAATTCTCACTGGATTAGAGTCAAACTTATCATCAATCAATATTAGAACAAGAACCCACTTGAAAACTAAGACAAAGAAACAAGAAAACAGAACTATAATAGAATAAAACGATCAAACAAACCCCGAAATCTACCTTAGAACAGACTAGCAATCTGGAACACGCTTAGTAAAGTTATAAACAACAAAGGCAGAAGCTTTTCCTAACCTGAAAACCAAAAGAGAAATGACTCACCCACCAGTCTTATTTGTAAAAATGATTTAATCGTAGACTAAATTGATTGATTTTCCTTATCATCAATTTAGAGAGAGAAAAAGCAAGAACAAAATATAGATAGAGAACGGAGGACTGGTGGGCCATTTGCATAACAAAACAAAATATAGATAGATTAAAAAATTATGTAATTATTATGATGCAAGTCATAGGTGAAGATGGATGGACTTTACAGACAATTTACAAGCTTCTCTCTCTCGTTAATCCCATGATTTGACGTCTTCGCTGTTTTTTGGTACTCTGCTTTTTAATAATAAATAAAAACAAATACAAACATAGGAACACAAGAGATTATTTTATGGTATTAAAAATTATAAATCATAAAATAAATCGTTGAATGTAAATAATATAGACCCTTTTATGCAAGCATCGCATTTTATTTTATTGTATAAATTCTAGATAAGTATTGCAATTATTACATTATTTTATAACAATCATACATATATTACCTTCTTACATCATTTTTGTACATCACCTCAACATATATCGTTAAATTAGTAAGTTTTATAGAGTTTATTAAATATCTAATGACTCTAATTGTATCACATTAGATAGTCTAAGAAATAATATACAAAAGTGATATCTACAACATTATTTTTTTAATATACTTTTTAGCATTATGCAATCAAGAAATTCTAGTTGGAATTGTATGTTTCTAATGATGGGGACTTTTATAATTTGTTTGAATTGGAAAATTATTTTTATTTTTTTTGGCTTTCAATAGTAAAGAATAAACAAAAACTCCATCAAAGTTTCTCCCATATATTTTAGAGGACACTACAAGAAAAGAGGACTTTTGTTTAGAGGAAGGGACATAAAGCCCCAATACAAAAGGTTAATTTCAACTTATTATCAAGACAAAAATGTATTTGCTTCTGTAAATTACTAAAGTAAAAAAACAAAAACAAAAAGGTAGGTATTTGTTTCGACAATTTATCCCCGACACAAAAAGTGATTATTTGGATCAGCCAAATGTCGAAGCAAATAATCTTATTTTGCTTCGGCATTTTGCTGATGCAAATACCTACCTGTAGCTTTGGTAAAATGCCGAACCAAATACTCTTTATAGATGCAAAAATAATTTTTTGTCTTAGCATTTTGTCGAAAACAAATACTTTTTTTCCTAAAAAAAAAAATTTCATTTACAAAACAACACGATAAATGAACAAAACCAAATTCATAAAAGTACTTCTATATTCATAAAAAGAAAAAATAATTACAAGTACATGGTAGCTAAAGTTTTCATAAGTATAAAAAATTCTTATTGGAAGTACCAACATAGGATTCAACCAAAAAATACTCTCCCTCGAAGCATCAAAAAAAAAAAAAATCCCAATGCACCATTCACCCTCTGTCAATAATCTGCAAAAATATATTTTTTGTTATTATATTATCAATTTTAATAAGGATAACTAAATACATAAAATTATAAATTATATATATATTAACAATTGTCCGTGTCTAAATGCACTGCATAACAAACAAAAAACCGCAAATAATTGTCAATACTTAGCAACTCAATTTTTTTCCCATAACCCAATTTTTAACTATTCTCCAAAATAATGTGCGCAAATTTCTAGCTTACAACATAATCAAATCAAATCATATATATATATATATATATATATATATATATATATATAAACCAACCACAATAATAATCAACTTCTCAAAGCCACAAAATTCACAATCCTTCATTCCCAATATCAACACAATCCAATTTTTTTTCAAACACAATATATATAAATCTGTATCTTTTTTATGTCATTATTTTCGGGTTGTGTGTGTGTGCACGAGTGTGTGTTGGTTTTTGATGATCAAGAGTAAGGTGATGGGTTGTATGGTTGAAGTTTGTCTTAAGCCTTGATGTAGTGGATTAATCACTTGTGGCATTTTGTCCAAGCAAACGGTGCAGGATGAGGGCTTCTAATTGTTCGAGATTTGATGTCAAGCATGAGAAGGCTCTTGGTTCACAAGATCGGAGAGAGCTCTCTGATTAGATTCAAATATTCTTTGCTTCTTTCTCATTCTTTGGAAGATGGCGGTAGTTTTGTTCTTGATTTGTTGATTGGGTAGGTTTGTCTACCTTTCTCACTTTTGTAATATTTTTTTATCAATGATAGAAAGTGTTGATTTGTTTGAAAAAAAAAAAGAAAAAATTTGGGAGTGGGATTGAATTGCCATTTGAGATTGAATTGGGAGTGGAATTGAATTATCATTCGGGGACTTAAGGATATAACTTGAAGTGGTTATCAAATATATTTTTTATTTTTATTCTCATAATTTGATAAACACAAATAACTCTCAAACATGTTTTCCGTTTCAGTCTTTACTATAAAACAAAGATAAAAGTTGTCTCTATTTTTTATTTTTTTGAAGATGCAAAAACAAAAACGTTTTCAAATGACCTCTAAGTGTAAGAAAGGTTTGAAGAATGATTGAAAATAAAAATCTAAAATTTTCTCTATAAATAAGATTGGAGAGGACAAGAATTGATGGGCATAATTCAAGGGTTGGTACTTGAGATCAGGCAAGGACTCAACAAGCTAGATTTCAAGAAAATAGACATAAAGCAAAGCTTGAAAAAGCTAGAAAGGACATCCGCAACTAATAGTGATCCTATTTTTTGTCAAGTTAAAAAGATCTCTATACAATGTCCTTAGAACAAAAAGGGCCAAGGCAAATATTTCTTGTTGGCCAATTAAATGGCCATTCTAGGGTATTTCTTGGTGTCCTTGGTGACCTTGAAGCCAGGAACACATAAAACAAATTGACAAAGCCAATGAAGGAGGAAAAAGGTGAAGAAATGATTGATTAAGTCAGTATACCTTGTACTGGAGCGGAGATTGGCAGGCGAATGACTAATATCAATGGAAAGACAAGCATTCACCTCCATACCCGTCAATGGAAGCCTTGTCAGGTGGATAATGTCCAAGACCGTTGGGGACATTATGCCAATAGGAAGAAATATGACATTGTACGATTGAGACCAAAAACATGAGACAACAACGATTCATGTGCTGTCACAAGTGGAGAGCTTAATCATTTCATAAATACTTGAACGTCTCCATTGAGAAATGAGGTTCTAATTTCTCAACCCAATCAACCCATCGTTGGTCAAGATTGATCCATGAGCGAAGAGAAATCGCCAAAAGCAAAGAGAGGAAGAGACCGAAGAATATAAGAGTAAGGTTAAGTGAATAGTGCAGCCGCCAACTCCTTAAATAAGTATTTGGAAACCAACGGTTACCACTGTTCATTTATTCGGGCTATTTATTAAACCCAAATAAATGAGGGGAGCATTGTTTAGCCCAAAATATGAAAATTCAGGAATATTCAGTGGATTGACATCTGACATTCTCAGGCTTGCCAAGGAGGGGCAATGTTGCAAAAACCCAATTAAGGCAAGAAGATAGCCAGTTACAACCATATTTAAACAAAGGAAAGTTACTTACTGAGAGTTACAACTGTTAAAGAAAATGACTATAAAAAGGGCAATAAAGAAATAAAGAAACACATTTTCAAACCCCCAAAAGTCCCGAAAATCTGGGCAGCATTAGATATAGTGTTATAATAGATTTTAGACTTTAGGTTGTAATCAAGACTGATCATTCAGTCTCTTTTGTAACCGAAGTTCTTTCGTTGAATTAATAAAGGAATTAGCTTATGAGTTCTCTAGTTTTACTCAATCTTTGTTCAGAAATATTCCCTTGTTTTCACCCAAGAAAGTCTTGAAACAAGGTAGTGAACCCCTTCCAAACTATCTCCTAATAATTATATGTCGATTGAGAGCCCTCTGTTGATCCCAACAGATTTGGACCAACAGGAGGTTTTTTTGGTATCGCCCCTTGGTACTTGAAAAGTCGAAAAAGAGCATTGGTAAACTACTGAGCGGCGGTCTTTAAGTGATCTTTAATCGCTCTAATGGTGGATAAAAATGGAGTAGGCATGAAAATGTAAAACAATGATTAGCGCTCTCTGATTGCTCGAGCAGTCTACTGTTCAAGCCTGCAAAAAAATCCATTCTAGTGGCCTACACTTTCTAACTGCTCTCTGCTCGAGCATTATCTGAGAGCTCAAGTGTTGTGTCGCTGAATAGTTTTCTTGCATGCCAATGAACTCCTATTTTCCTACACTTACAAATAGGGAACACTAGGGTTTAAGAAAAGCTAAGAGACATTCAAAAGGCTTACCTTAGAACCCAAAAAAAACTCGAATATCTAATCAATATAGAGCTCTTTAAGGGAAATTCATCTAGAATTTTGACAAGTCTTACAGATAACCCAAAACCCACAAAGCAAGGATTCAAGGAGATGTCTAATAATCAAAGGAGGATTTCAAGGAGAGGAGGAGGAGGAATCCAATGGTGGATTATGAAGCTTGATTAGTCACCTATTGAAGCTAGTTTTCGAAAGCTTGAGGTGGACTATGAAGTGAAGATTCAAGTGAAAAAATGATCAAACCACGATATTGGTTAAAGTATAACACTTTATGGCTTGTAAACTTGGTTGAGACTAGTGAATTAAATTAAGTGGACTACGGTCCCGCAATTTTTTCAGAGAGGATGTCCATATAAGCATTGCTTGTGTTGTGTGTTGTACTTGTCTCTTACTTGTCTTATACACTTGCAAAATTTCTCCTTCACATATTTGATAAAATGCTTGATTTACTAATTTTTGGAATATATATATAAGTGTTGAATTGGGACATAGAGGTTTATTTGAGCTTAACTCAAATTATAGAAACCCTTAACCCGAATTCAAACGAAATTCGACTTTCAATTAGAACAGTGACCTTCAACTCAAATATTATTCATTGACCCTTCTGGCGCTCGACTACCACGACAAAAATCAGACAAGAACATTGTCGTCTTGGTCATCCCTCTCTTCAGTAGTTGAAGCGTCATGTTCTCCCACCTCGATATGGTAATAAAAATGCTTGACATATTTGTATAATACGAATCCACCACTCAAGTCTTATCCAGACACTAGTGATCAAATACAATTAACATACACTCAGAGACGGAGAAAAGATAGACATACAAAAATAAACGACTGACGCAGCAGAGAATTTGCCATTTTTAGTGTCAATGATGCACAGTAACTTCAATCCAGTGAGGTTGAGTACTCAATCTCTGGAGATGATGAGCTTTTTTGCAGAGGAAATTGCAGAGGTTTCCCAAAAATGCTACTCTTGAGGTTTCTGTTTCCGTTAAATTGGAAATGAAAATTAAAAAAAACGTGCTTTCTCTGTTTTCAGTTGTATGGAAAACAGGCACACTGTTTCCAAAACATTCTCAAACTGACCCCGTTTTACTTGGCTTGAATAGCAGGTAGCAACAAATTGTTCCATCCTGATTGGCATAACCTGAACTGTTTATCAAAAAGATAACACAAGGCAAAATAGATATTCAATCTTGCTGCCAATGCTCTGAACCCAAACATATACATAAAAAAAAACTTTCAAGAGACAAACATAATAAGCACATGAAAGAAGTTTCCTCCAATAAAACTAAGGCCACCAATTTGACAACCAAAATCTATGATAGATGCATCCTGCTAGGTGCCCAAAAGACGGGACAGAGAAGAAAAAAGACCTTAAAAGAAACTAAGATGGATCAAAACTATAAAAAGAACTATGATGGATCAAAACTAAGTTAGACGATTACAGCTTTCAAGCATATGAAGCCATTAATCTACGGAATGTGACAAAACTGAGAGACATCCGTCACATCTACCTTGAAAACTTCGTTCGCTTGGGAGCACTGCTACTAGGAACAGCCCGAGATTTACCAAAAGCCTTCATCTTCCTCCTCTTCCTATCCTCGTCACTGTCATACTCATCCCCTTTCTCCCTGTCTGCATTGCTTGCTTCCCTCTCCAACTCCTCCCATGTCTTGCCTTTTTCTTCTTCAGAGTCTTCCTCCTCATCCTCCTCGGATTCTACCAGAGACTCGCTATCTGAATCATCATCCTCTGAGACCGAATCAGGCTCAGCATCTGATGGTTCATAACCTCGGTCTGAATCCTCTGAGTTCTCAGAATCTGACTCGCTAGCTTCCATGTTCAAGAATTCCCAACCTCCATCCTCTATGAACCTTTGTGGGTCACTAGTGATGGTCTTCAATATCTCCCGCCAGTTCAGATTAAGCCTGCTCTCATAATACTTGAGATCTGTTGTGTCGAGCCATTCCTTAATGCCATCAACTGATGACGAAGGAATAGAATCGATACGGAGCACATCACGTTTGAAGTCTTTGAAAACAATAGCCATGTCAAAATTCTTCTGTCCAAAACCAACCCTCTCTAAGTTGACAATCTCAATCTCACTTAGTGTGACCACAAGAAAAGGAGTCTCTATCAGCTCAACCAGGCAGCCTGAAGTTGGGACAATGAAAGCTGAGGATTTGTATGGTACCCCATAAAAGCCAAGTTCTCTCAGAGGCTGATCAAACTCCAGGTCAAGCCCTTTAAATTGCGGCTGGCCCCAGAGATCATTCACCCGGTTCACAAAATTCTGAAAGTCCATGTTCATTTTGTTCTTTCGATCCCTCTCCCTTTGTTCTTCCTCAATCTCATCTGGGTCATAGGCTGATCTCTTTCCACCCCCAAGTGTTTGAACCACATCCATCACCTCAACATAAAATTGGACATCCTTGGTTTTCTTGTTTCCAACCATTATGTGGTTGTGGAGGTGAAAATGTAGTAAGGTAATCATCTCCTTCTCTGCTGGCTGGAAGAATGCATGCTTGATGTTACCATACATGACGTCCACACGCTCATCTAGCCTTGAAGTTGAATACCGCAATCCATTAACATGAGCCTCTAGTGTACCACTCAGCTTTCTTGCACGGCCACCAAAAGAGGGACGGATCCAAAGGTCAGGCAACCTTACTGGCTTGAATTTATTACCTGCAAGTATAAGTTTCTCCTGTGTGACCAAAGTTGCCCTCTCAGCTCTCTCAGACTCCCTGGCAACAACATTCCGTCTGAGTGTTTTAATCAGCTGCACCACTTCACTTATGTGCCTCGGGTCCTTGGAACGAAATGAAACTTCCTTCAGATAGATAGCCCCCTGATTTTTCATGGAGTTTGCATCATGAGGAGTGAAAGGAGTCCCAGGGACATTGAAGATTATACGGATGTAGCAATTTCGATTGGTATCCTGCTGGCTGGAGACGGTTTTCACAGTAGCAACATGAAAAGGAACCATGCTCCCATAGATGGGGAGGAGGATGGCCTCATTCTTTTGATCAACTTGAATCATCATTTCCCTGGGAGGTGGAAGCTCATTCACACTTTTATAGGCAATTAGCTCGTTTGAATGCTTCGCAGAAGTCCTGCCATCACCTGTTGCTGACCCACCTCCAGCAAGTCGTCGGGCAGTTTCTTCATTCTTTTGACGGGCAAGTTCAGCCTGGTGCTGCCTACGAAGCTCTTCCTTGGATATTTCTTGATTGTCTGACCTGAGTGTTGCCTTGGAATACAAGCCTTCCAAGCCATTTGACTCACCTTTTACTTTTGGCTGCTCCTCTTCCTCATCATCGTTGAAGGAATAGGCCACATCCTCAACAGCTTTAGAGCTCAACCGAGTCACCACATCATGACCATTATCAGTTACTATAACTGTATCTGCAAGCAACAGTGCAAAGTTCTGACTCTTCGGTTTTTTGCTCTGCGTCTGCAAGTTCTGAAAACCAAGTGACACGTTAAAAACCATGCCAGCTTTTAAAATTCCATCATTCTTTGCATTAAGACTCAATCCAGATTCACGGAACTCAAGACCAATGCCTGTCCCAGCGGATTTTGTCAGATTGCCAACCAAGTCAGGAGCATCCTTCTTTACCACGGGAAGGGCCGCCTGATACACAGTATTGACCTTGTTCCCAGGCTTTAATGCACCAATTGCAGCTTCATGGGCCTTTAGAAGAACCTCATAAGCCTTGTTTTGCATCTCATTAGAATCAATAAGAAAAGTCCTTGCAATATTCGAACAGTAGCTGTTATATCGCGATCCAATTGCACATATGATCACACTGGCAGAATCATAATATAGAAAGTCATCATTGCTCGAAGCACTAGGTCTAAGATCAAAATTCCCACCACTTTGAAATATCGGAGGGTAACAAATATCAACATTCTCAGCCTTCAACTTCACCTTGATTTTGGCAGGCTCCAGGATGGCCTTCTCTGTGTTGTCCATTAATGAGGAGTGGCTGACTTTGTTTTCCTCATCAATGACCCTTTCAAGGTTCGGAACCACAAAATTTTTCATTGCAGAAGCAGTCAAATATGCAGCCTTCTTCACATTGGTGAGCTCACCAAGGTCCTTCACAGCAAACAATTCAGACAACCCACTGGTTATATCACTAAGCTGAAGGTTTGAGTTCTTTAACTTATCAGCCCATGTCTCCAACAGCTTCCCCTCCGGAGCCTCTCTTGCTATGTAACCAACAACAAGAGCATCACAACCATCAGACTTCAACTGTGCACAAATTGCATGGAGTATACCATCCATTTGAGCAGTACCATCATCGCTTTTTGCCTTCACATGCATGACAACATCTACTCCCACAGTTTCTTTAGCCGACTTTTTAACCACTTTAAGCAATGAGGCCTTCTTTTGGCTACACATAAAATGAATATGCTTATTTGTGAACACCATTATTGTCTCTGGGAACTCGTATCCGACCAACCAAATGTTCAGAGCTGAAGATTTCAGGTAACGGAGATCCTCTGAAGCAGGTGGTGTAGCAATTGCGAGAACATTAGACGATCCCCAGAATTCATTTTTGTTTTTGCGCCAATGCGAATAAAGGGACTGCAACCGCCTGCTAAAGGTATTCAAATCAATAGCATAAGCATTTCCACCTGCAGCATTTCCATTTGTAGGTGGACCATTGCCATTCTGGTGTTCTGCTATAGTCATTTACAGCCCAGGAAAACTAGTCCAAAATTAAAAAAGAAACAAAAATCCATTAGTTCCATCCTTTTAATTCATACATACAAGGAAGATTTGATTACGGCAAAAAAATTTCCATTTCAAATCAAATAGCTAAATGATCAAAAAACAAAAAACAATGAAATAAGTGTAAGAAAAATTATATAAGTCCTATTAACATGGTCAATCAAGGTGTCTAACTTAAAAAGAACCAATACTGTTTTGAACATGCAGAGTAGTGAGCAGTAAAAGAGAGAGAGAAAAATGAAAACAAAGAACACCGAATTACGTGTTTCCACTCCAATGCATTGGGATCCACTACACCCAGCCCACGAGGCAGTGGACCCGTGGGCCTAGTGAATATAAGACATTCACTATCTCCAAAAAATATATTATCATCAATTTGCATGCAGAATCTGTCCGAAATACAAATTTTAAGTTTACAATTATTTTTTATTTTATTCTTATTTTTTTCAAATTCATAAATTCAAGTTTATTTGTTTTGTTTTGCCTCTTTAGTGGCAAGATCTAGAATTTGGAGATATAATAGCATCAAAAGAAAAAGACACATAGAACACAATTCCCTTTATTACACGGTGATAAACATTCATAAAAAAAGTTGGCGAAACTTAGAGAAGCTAGGGTTCAAGAACTATTAGCTGAGATTTCCAGATCAAAAAATAAGTAAGATTAACAAAAAAATCTACAAGCAGTCACGATCAATCATTCTGTCACGTAATAAAAAAAACCACACGTTTAATCCAAAATTTTGAATTTCAATAAAACTAGAGTCTGATAAAATCGGAAAACAAAAGAAAACCCCAAAATCAAGTGAAAAACTCAAACCCCCAAAAAAAAAAAACCCAAAAAAACACGTTTTGTCCAAAACAATTCCAATTTTAAGCAGAACTAGGGTTTCTCGAAGTTGGAAAAACCAAAGGGAACCCAAACAACTCCAAGCAATCACTATCACCTTATTTTCCAAACATAAATGCTGAAAACTGCCTATTCTGCACCAAGTTTTCAAATTTTAAAGCAAGATTAGAGGGTCCTGAAGTTGAGGAAGCAAAAGAAACCCCAAAAATAACTTCAAACACACACAATCAATGAGTCTATCTAATTCCCCCAACTCAGACCCAAAATCTCAAGTTATGATCCAATTTTCCGAATTTTAGGCCAATTAAGGGTTTGTCGAAGTAGGAAAACTAAACGAAATGCATAAATCAAATAAAAGATAAGGAAAAACACTTACAGTTTTTGAGTCGGTGAGTGTTGTTACGTTAGAGAAAGCGACCTTGAGAAGCCAATTACGGTTAGAACTCGTATTCTGGCTATTCAAAGAGCTCTTGGAAAAATGAAAACTAGGGTTAGGGTTTCGAATACTTTAAAAAAACTAGAAACAGATTACACTAGCATATCATGAAGATTGAAAGATTCTAGGACTAAATTTCTTCAAAATCGAAAACAAGAAAGAGAGATATGTCGAAGAACACAAGAAATTCCTCGATTAAAGAGAAAAATGTGGGATTGAAGCGAAATGCGAAGCGAAGAGGAGAGTGCGAGGGAAGGGGGGGGAGAGAGATAAGGGTCGAAGAGGGAAGGGGGAGAGAGAGTCGAGGAGCGAACGAGCAAAATTTCATTTTGAGGTCTCTCGAAGCGGGATTGAAAGTTATATATGAAGTCCGTTACATTACAAGACAAGACATTCACCGAAATTACGCGCGATACCACCGTTTTACATGATGAAATTACTAAGATGTCCTTGGCAGTGAAGAAATTCTGCGGGAATCCTTTTTACCGGTGGGACGAAAATACCATCAAGTTGGTCCAAAATACCCTACTGTTTGAACTATGACATATGTTATTACATATTTTTTAGAGGATATTAAGATAAATTCACTTACTCAGCCGAAATTATGGGAATTTAATATGGACTATCTATGGGCCATTTTTGCGTAAGGGCAAACTATGGGCCATTGAAAATAGACGGCGTCGTTTGAACGATCCCATTTGTCTTATCATTATAGAGATTCAACGACGCCGTTCTATTGCATTTCGAGAGTCTCACTTTTAACCGAAGTGTCAATTTGGCGGGAAATGTGGGCTGCGTTACGATACCCTTCATCATCTTTAAAGATTACACATCAATAACTCTTGCAATAAATGTTTAAATGTCGTAAATATTGCACAGTATATACCATATACATATTGTATATAAACGGGAAAACCTCTAACCTACCAATTAAATGGGTATTAGTATGTGACTCTATAACTTCTCTCAAAGTTAATATTATATTTGACAAATTCGAGACCTATAAAATGAGATTTTCACCACATTGAAAAATAAAAAGTTTTTTCTCTATATTCTTTTTGTAGTCTCTATAATTTTCTTATTTTCACAACACGATTCTCTTACTTTCACAACACGTTATCAGCACAAATAGCTCAGGTATTTTGTTCAAGTGAATTTGAGGAAAATGCTAGATTTTTATTCTATTCATGCTTAAGAATTTTAGGTAAATTTCTTTTAAGAAAATCAATTCTTTTTTATTCTATAATTATACATGCACAAATAAAAAAAGTTTGATCAAAGTTTTGACCCTCTGGAAGAGTATATAGTCTTCATATTATTGCATCGAGAAGAATGAGTGATATATTATTACATAATGAGTGATACATTATTACATAATTCTTTTACCATGCCTGAATTCTATGCATAAGATTTCTTTTAGTTAAGTTCTCTACATTCCTGTTTTAGTTTCCTGGTTTGAATAATGTCGCTCTTGATATTTTGGGCAACAAATATCTTTCTTGGATCATTGAGACTAAGATCCACTTGACAATTATAAATTTTGGTGATACTATGAAAGAAAGAAATGACACATCCCTACAAGATTGCACAAAGATAATGATATTCATTCGTCATTGCTTTTATGAAAGATTGAAAAATGAATATCCCACGGAAAATGATCCACTTATCCTTTAGGATAAATTAAATTAATATTATAACTACCAAAAAAAACATTTATACTTCTAACTACTCGACATGAATGGATGAACCTGATGTTGCAAGATTTTAAAAAATATGAGCGATTATAATTCGGCACTATTCAAAATCAACTCACAATTAACACGACGTAGAGAAACAATTACTGATAAAGACATGTTAGAGAAAAATATTTTATACTCTTCATGTCTCTAATGTGCTCCTGTAGCAGTAATATAAAGAGCGCAAGTTCACTAAATACTCTGACCTGATATCATATTTTTTTCTTGTTGAACAAAATAACAAGCTTTTGATGAAAAATCATGAATCTCGCACGACTAGTTTTACAGCATTCCCTAAAGCAAATGTCGCCTCATATCTAGTAATAAACGTGGGTGTGGTCGAAATGATAATCGACACCGTGGTCATAACACCTCAACTCATCACTAGAAGTGGGCAAACAAAGATACAAAATAACATAAAGAGAAGGATTTGCTAAATAAACCGTCAAAAAAATTACAGAGAAGTTTGTTATAGGGGTGATATGAAAGAATATTGGTCATGTACCTGTCGTACTTCCAAACATTTGGTAGACTTTTACCAGACATCCATAAAGAAAAAAGGAAAGAAGATAGAGACAAATTTTATTGATTACCGTGAACCAGTGAGTCTACCATCATAACAAAACTTTAACTATCAATAAAGAAAGTGAATGTAGAATGTGAACACATCTAGCAAAATTGTCTCTAAAAATATTAACTCTTCTGGTGCAGAAAGTTGGAGAAAGATAGTGAGAGTGGGAGAGAGAGAAAGAGTGGAAAGGACTTGAGAGAGAAAGGAAGATAACTGCTTTTAAAGACAAAATTTGATACCTTCTAGGACTTTATAGGAGGACTTATTACTTTTTAACCTTTTTTTAGAGAAATCTACTACCAAATTTAAAGGCATACATTCTAATGGATATCGCACTATCCTTTTTTATTATTTTAAACTAGAAACTTGTTAGAGAAACTTCTTAATTTTTATATAGAGTTGTATTATACTATGAATAGTTAAACTACTTATTGTGATGCACTTGAAGTGTTATCACCCAAAAAAAATAGAGTAAGTTTTGGCATCCTCATCCTGGACATCAAAGATCAACTTTGAATCATTGTGAATACACGTGAGACCATTAACAAAATATTCTTTTGCAATTGATAACATATATTTTTCCCCCAGAAGGTGATACCGTGTATTTCTTGCTCACAAAATAAAATATTTATCAAGTTTTCCATTGATATATGATGTTATTTACAAGTCTAAGATTGATATATCCCGATTATGCATAGTGAATAAATATGTGATTTTGAATGTAAGAATGTTAATATATATTTCTATTTTCTATAAGTCAAGTTAATTGACAATTCTTCCTATCATTTATAAAAATATTGTGGATTGAATTTATCTACATTACGCTAGAAACGCGAAAGAATAGTCATAACAATAGACAAGATTCCCTAGAAGAGGAAGAAATAATGAAAAATACTGGGAATGTTAGTACTCCCGAAGAAAGTTGGTACTCCTAAAAAGCTCCAAAGAAAAATATACAATAAAAGTTGCATAAAAATGGTAGCACCCCTGAAGAGGCCACACCCATAAAGTAGGCAACAGAAATATTAATTAGTTCAAAATTAGTAAGCTAAAATCTCATGAAGAGGTATCTTCTGCAGAGGCAAAGGTACTCACAAATTATGAGATCTCAAGAAGTTATATATGTACAAAGGAAAAATGACACACTTTTCCCGCCATTAGGGGGGGAAATCTGTCGTAGAAGAACAATGTGAACTTTCTTACATGCTTGAAGTGTGGTCGACACATAGGTTCAAAAGATTCAACTCCTGAAGGGCAACTATGTACAACTTAAGAAAAAATAGAAAATGAAAATGCACCCACATAATCTCAAATAATAATCCCTGAAGAAAAAAAAAGTCCCTAAAGAGACCAACTCTTGAGGAGGTAAAGATATTTGCAAATGAAGAATTTTTTATTATGTATGCATACGTAGGTGAGGTGTGGGATCGCACAAAAATGATTATCGATGATATACTAGCTATTGAAATCTAAAATGATGATGATCTTGAACCATGCATAATATGCTATTGTCGACGTATAAATAATTAGTCTAAGTGGAAGAAAATAATTCACTTGGAGCCAATTAACAAAATACAAAATATTTGAGCTATAGTCCAATATACTTAAAGATGTAAATGTAGACCTGTAGTTCTAAAACATTAAAAGATGTTAAATTGGGCTTGTAGTCCAACACTTTAAGATGTAAAGTCTATTGGATATAGGTGAGTATTTATATGAAAATAAAAAATAAATATACGTTATAGAGTACATCTAGTAGCGCAAGGGTTCCTGTAGAGACCTGAGATTGATTATAAAAAAATATAATCACCAATAATGGATATAATCATATTCGGTATTTTAATAGTCTAGCAGTCTCAAAAAGACTCGACATGCATCTTATAGATGTTGTTACTGCACATTTATATGGAAAGTTAGATACTGATATTTATATGAAAATCTCTAAATGATTGCAATTGCCTGAAATAAATACATCAAATCACGAAACATGTACTCAATTAAGCTGCAACGATCCTTGTATGGATTGAAACAATCCAAAAGAATATGGTATAACTGTCTGAGTGAGTACTTGGTAAAAGAAGGGTATTTTAATAATATCATATGTCTATGTGTATTTATTAAGAAATCAAAATTTAAATTTGTTATTATTGCAATATATGTTGATTATATGAATCTAATCGGAACTCCTGAAGAATTGTAACGCTCCAAAAATCGGAGGTCTTTAATTTAACAAAATTCGGGCAGAGTCTCTTTTATACAAGGAGCTCTACTCAAAACACAACCTGTGTAATTATATTACATTGACCACGTCAGATCTATTTATGAATAAATATTAACCACACCGGATCCATTTATAAGTAAATATTGATCACACCGGGTCCATTTATTCATACTCATGTAACCACATGTAATTTTTCTTTTACATTAAAACCGTCCATATGAGTTCGATTTTATGCCCCAAAATCCCCCTTTGACAACATTACTATCTAAAATCATTCACATCATGAGAACAACTAAATGGACTTCGTAACAAAAGAGAATTTTTTTCATCATCCACAATATATACAATATCATCCAAAATAATATGTCCAACTATGACAATTACATCCAAAAGAAAACCAACCATTATCTTGTAACGGAATAACGAAAATATTAGACTTCATATTGTCTCAAAATGAATTTCCTAGTTTAGAACATAAGATAATATAGCTCTAAACGTCCACCTCGGGATTCACGTTCCCATCTATTGGAGCTTCCCAATGTACTACCTTATCAATTCCAAGCTCTTCCTCTAGACCATAATTTGAAAAAAATATTATTTGTTGGGGTAAATACTAAGTTTCGTCGAAAAATCCTCCCAAATTCAAACAAGGTTTTGAAAGCATATAAAACAGTCGGTCTTATTTTACAAATATCATATTTACCTTTTGGAGAAAAACAGAGAGATTTCAATGGATCTCAAGTTTACACAATAACAATAATTAAATGAAAAGTAAAAT